TTGAGAAATAAGAGTCAGGAAAACAAACAAAAAAACACCTGGGGCAGTTGGGTGTGGGCTCACTCAGGAGGCTGAGATCTGAGGATCGCGGCTCACAGCCAGCCCAGGCAGGAAAGTCCATCAGACTCTTTTTTTTTTTTTTTTTTTTTTGTCGGCCGTGGGGCTTGAACTCTGGGCCTGGGCACTGTCCCTCAGCTCTTCAGCTCAAGGCGAGCGCTCTACCACTTGAGCTACAGCGCCACTTCCGGTTTTCTGGTGGTTTATTGGAGATAGGAGTCTCACAGTCTCTCTTGCCTGGGCTGGCTTTGAACCGCGATCCTCAGATCTCAGCCTCCTGAGTAGCTAGGATTACAGGCGTGAGCCACCAGCGCCCGGCTTCCATCAGACTCTTATCGCTATGAACCACGCAACAGCCTGAAGTGGCACTGTGGCGCTAGCCGTGAGCAACATGAACTCAGGGACAGCGCCCAGGCCCTGAGTTCAAGCCCCACAAATGACAAAAACAAAAACAAGAGAAATGACCCTCAAGGATAGTGCTCAGATATTGACAACCCCACTACTGCACCATACCACTACTGCACTACCCACACTACTGCGCTACCATGCTAACCTACCACCACACTAGCCCTACACACCACTACCCCACTACATCACTACCACACCACCCACAACCCCAGTAGCCCACAACACCATTACCACACCACCCACAACCCCAGTACCCCACGACACCATTACCACATCACCCCACTGCCCTGCTACACCATTACACCACTACACCATGACCCCATTCCCCCACTACACTAGTACCACACCACCATACTACCCCACCACCACACAATACCACTACCACACTACTACGCTCCCAGGGAGAATTCACACTCTCCACTAAAGGCAAAGCCACCAGAAACAAATCATGGCCCCAGGGGCGAGCCAACGAGGATGCTTCTGGAAGGAGGACACTGGCCTCTGAGCCTCTTCTAGAGAGGGAGAGGCGGAGCAGGGAAGGGAGAGGCAAGGCTCCCATTCAGAACACGTGAATCTGTGAGGAAAAAGACAAACAGCCCACATGTTTTCTAACACAGGCAAAGGAGTGAGAGGGTCCCATCCCCCCCTCACGGGGGGGTGTTAAACGGAACCCCCACCGTGACCCCAGCACACGCCCACCAGGACCAGCGGAAGTCTAAACTCCCCCACACCCAGCGTGGGCAGGAACGGAAGGAGAGACGGCTGGTGGGGGCCAGTGGCAGAAACACTTAGAAACACAGATAGGAAGCTCGACTCAAACTGAAAACCCGCGTAATCTGATACCTGGGTGCTGTGCATGTGTGCGTGTGTGTGCATGCGTGTGCATGCATGTGTGTGCGCATGTGTGTGGGGGGGATCTCCATCCACACGTCTATATCTTTGTGCATCAGCAAACGTAGATAGAACATGCCAGGCATCTGGCATTCATGCGCTTGCACGAGGGTCGTTAGAGTTGGAAAGGAAGGATGCAGAAGCTGTTTCACACTTGTTCTATGAAACACACAGAGCAAGGGGGAAAGAATCCACCACCACCGCAGGCCACAAGACCGGAGAGTCCTGAAAACAAGCAAAAAGCCAGGCCCGAGGGCTCATAATCCTATCTACTACTCAGGAGGCTGAGATCTGAGGATCGCGGCTCACAGCCCTGAGACCCTTATCTCCAATTGATCGGTCAAAAGCTGGAAGTGGAGCTGTGGCTCAAGAGGCAAAGTGCCAGCCGTGAGCAAAGAAATGAAGGGAGGGTGCTCAGGCCCTGAGTGTGGGTCCCAGTACCCGCACAAATCTAATAGATATCATATGTAGCTACATCTGGCCCTACGTAACCCTACAGTGTGTGTGTGTGTTTGCCAAACGTGGCAGACAAGGGAACATGGAAAATCTCTACCTTCTACTTTGTTTTGCTGTGAACCCCAAACTGCTCTGAAACGCGAGCGTTCACTGGAAGAACTTTTAAAGGACAAGGAAACGGGGCAGAGCGACTCCTCGGGATCAGGGTCACGATGACAGGCGGCTGCCAGGCTGCATCCAACGCCAGACACACGGGTGCTGTTCAGTTCACGTGCGTCCGATGTGTGGTAGGACAGACTCACGGTGCGCGCGCACCTCCTCCTCCGCCTTGCCGACCGCTCGGGGCACACAGGCACATGCGCACATACGTGTGCACATGGCGTGGAGAGCGGTCTGAGTGCCCTGCGAGAGGAGACCCCGCACCCTCTCCGGAGCTGGGCGATGGCTGCGACACGGATCCAGCCCCTGGCCACGCTCTTCCCGTGCCCGGCCCGCCCTGCAGTGCCCTCCCCAGCCTCTGGCTCAGCCCCGCCAGGCCCGTCCCAGGCTCCTGATCCCTCCTCCTCTGCCCCCAGCACCCCACGTAGCCTTCCAGCCCCCCAGAACCTCCCCTTGGCTGTGTTCAGGGAGCCCAGCAGCGAATGGAGGCCTGAGCTCACTGTGGGTCCACAGCTGAGCCCTGCAAGCAAGAACCACGTGGGGAAGGATGGGGTGCCACTGGGAGGTCAGGAAAAGGTCATTCTGCACCCAGGGCCCCGGACCTCCCCGGCTAGGCTACGATGGAGGCCTAGCCTACTGAGGTTCAGAGGAGGACCCTGCGGCCTCTGCCGTGGAGCGGGAAGGGCACAGACTGGAGCCTGGAGGGGGCGTGGCCCACGCTGGGGCCTCAGCTGACCCCACTCTCCCCTCCCCCTCTGCCTCCACCCCCCCCCCCAAAGCAGGAATCATCAGTGGGCCCCTTAGCTGGACTGGAGCTACCCCCCCCCCAGGCCCACCCATCAGCACCCAGCAAGGAAACCACAGCCCACGGGGCCTCCAGGCCCCCCTCTGGCCAGGCCCGCCTCTGAGCCTGCCTTACACACCCAACTCCCTACAGTGCAGGAGCCCAGCCTCACCAGCCACACAGCAGAGAAGCAGTGGCCACCACACCTGTAACCCTAGCTACTCACAAGACTGAGACCTGGGGAACCAAGGCCAGTCCAGGCAGAAAAGTCTGTGAGATCCCATCTCCAAAATAACCAGCAAAAAGCCAGGCTGGAGGTGTAGCTCAAGTGGTAGAGCACCAGCCAAGCAAGCATGAGTCCCTGAGTTCAAATCCTGCTACCTAGTATCGAAGCAGATGCAGACCCTTAACTCACACACTTGAAGGTTTAGTGAAACTTGCCCAGGCCTACTCCCAACCCAGCTGGGTCTCAGGGAGACCTGGTCACCTCTGAATGACAGCTTCTGGTCCACAGCAGGGTAGCAAGAGGGCCACGGAGCCTCCGTGGAGAGAAGGCGCTCAACAACTTGAGCCAGACTCCCAGCCCTTTGTGCTTTTGAGTTGATCAGGCAGGGTGTTCATGCTTTTGGCCTGAGACTAGCCTTGGGCCATGATTCTTCTTACCTCTGCTTCCTGTTGAGCTGGGATTACAGGAATGTATCACCATGCCTGGCCAAGCCTTGGGACTGTTCATGACAAGAGTCTAACTAATCCAGATCATAAACGGAGGTCCTCCCTGCTTCCCCCACTCCCTTCTTCCTTTGGTGCCTCCATTGGTGAGCCCTCCTGGATGTCAGCACATCCTCTCCTCGACTGCACGGCCGGGACAAGGCCTCCGAGGACAGAGACCCGCGGGGCTGGGCCCACCCCGGCCTGGCGCGCCCAGGGGCTGTGGGAGAGGCTGTCCGGGGGGCTCTGGAGCGCACAGTGCTGCTCTGGAAGGAAGCGTTGGTGCTCTGAGCACCCCATTGCAGGACTGTGCGCCAAGGATGCCCAGACACGCAGCTGGGGAACAGGGCCGTGTGGGAGGGACACCCGGGGGGCAGGGCTGTGGGGGAGGGATGCCCGGGGGACAGGGCCATGCCAGAGGGATGTCTGGGGGACAGGGCTGTGGGGAGTGACACCCGGGGGACAGGGCCATGTGGGAGAGATGCCCAGGCACACAGCGAGCAAGGCCCATCCTCAGGACCGATGAGCCTCGGGGCACCTCAGGCCCCATAGGGAGACGCCCTGCCAAGACCACCTGCAGAGAAGGGAGCTGAGACTCAGAGAGGGGCCTGGATCTGCCCACTGCAGAACAGGGGATGCCAGCTCTCACAGGAGGGGGGGGGTGACAGGATGCATATGGCGGCTTTTTTCCATGGCCCAGCCCAGAAATAAGATACTTCATTCCCACCGCTATTGTCTGCCATTACACCACATGATCATGACAACCACCACCAACCACCGCCATCAACAATAACCACCGCTACCACCGGGATCACCACCAGCACCACCACCACCAGCACCACCGTGATCACCAATATGACCACCAGCACCACCACCACCAGCACCACCGTGATCACCAATATGACCACCAGCACCACCACCACCAGCACCACCGTGATCACCAATATGACCACCAGCACCACCACCACCAGCACCACCGTGATCACCAATATGACCACCAGCACCACCACCACCAGCACCACCGTGATCACCAATATGACCACCAGCACCAGCAGGATGGCCACTGTTGCCATTGTCATCATCGCCTCCATCTACCTCCTCACTGTGACCGTCCTCCTCTTCACCATCCTCCTCCTCCTCACCTCCCTCCCCATGATCTTGATTGCTCTCCCCGACCACCACACAGTGGGGCCGGGCCGTTCCCATCTTGCCTCCGAGCTGGCTGGGTGAGCCAGCGAGAAGGCCGGTGCTGCCAGGCAACACCTGAACACGGCTCTGGAGCCCGACTGCGGCCAGCTCTCCCTGTGCCTCAGTTTCCCCCCTGCGGATTGGAGGTGACAGCCCTGCCTGTGTGTGAGGTGGAGGACAGGGCCGGCACGCCCCTCACTGGTGACCCCGGGAGGACAGGGACCTGGGCAGCCCGTGTCCACGGCTCCCGAGGCAGGCCCCCGCCCCGCCCCAGGCCTCGGCTCCCCCCCCACCCCCAAGGGACGGGAGGCCCTGGCGGCCCCGCCCGGGCCAGTGCGGGCGCACTCACCACGGGGAGCCGTACACCCTGAAGCCGCGCACGGTGACCTCCGAGTCCTGCAGGTAGATGCAGTTGGTCAGCAGTGACTGCACGTTCTCGTAGTTCTCGGGCTTCAGCTTGGACACGGACGGGAAGTAGTAGAAGTCCTGCTTGATGAGGTCCGCCATGAACTCCTGGTCGAAGGTGAGCTCGTGGTTGCCGGCGATCACGATCTTGTACTCATAGGGCAGGCTACCTGTACAGCGACACAGGCACGCAGGGGCTGCCGTCGGGCCTTCCGGAAGCCGCCGGGGAGGGAGGAGAGGCAGGAGGGAGGGATGGGGGGGGAGAAGGGAGGGGAGATGGGAGCCACAGGCCTCCAACTACGTCCCCAGATCCCAGGGGGCAGCCATGGCTCCTGGCCCTCCCCATGGACGGGGCGCGGATTCCTCCCAGCGCTCTGAGCCTCGGGGCGCCTGGCCTCACTCTCCCGATTCTCTGCCTCCTTCTCTCCTGTCCATTTTCACAGGGACTCAGCGTGAGCTACCGCCAGCTCGTCAAAGCCAAGGCCACGGGAGACGTGTGTGCTCTGCACAGGCCACGTGTGAAAGCGGCGGAGCCGTCTCACTTCCTGACTATTCCACTCGACTCCTCTCAGGCGCTGCGCCCTAGAAAAGATGTCCTGAAAGGGAAGCCCAGCTCTGCCACTAACCCTCCACACCATGTAGCCCCCACCGTCCATCCACCACCATGCCTCGATTTACCCACCTGCGTGACGGAAAACATGAGGCCCACCTAGTCCCACCCCACGACTCTGAGATCACAGAAGGTTCCAAATGAAAAGGCACACTTAAAAAGTTTGTAAGTTGAGAAGTAACACGGCACGTCCCCTCCCCGGGGGGGGGGGGGGGGGGGGGGCGGGGAGGACACGGCTGGCCGGCTACGCACGCGCAGATTTTGTTTGGCACAAAGTTTTGGTTTTTCAACTCGAACTTGTTGCCAGCATTAAAGAAAAAAAATTCAGAGCGTCCCAACAAAACTTCATTTTGTTTTCTAAAAGTAAATGAAATGAACAAGCAGCACGTGTGTGTGTGTGTGTGTGTGTGTGTGTGTGTGTGTGTGTGTGTGCATGCATGCTGGTCCTGGGACTTGAACTCAGGGACTGAATGCCGTCCCTGGACTTTTTTGCTCACAGCTAGTACTCTACCACTTGAGTCACAGCCCCACTTCTAGCTTTTTGGTGGTTCGTGGGACATAAGAGTCTCACGGGCTTTCCAGCCCTGCCTGGCTTCAAATCTCCATCCTCAGATCTCAGCCTCCCGAGTAGCGAGGATTCCAGGCGTGAGCCACTGCACCGGACTGAGGCTCATCTCCCATGTTTCCAGGAGGGAGGGAAAGGGATGGGGGAGGGATGGGGGAGGGGAAGAGGGGAGGGAGTGGGGAGGGGAGGCAGGGACGGAGCCAGGAAGGCCCATGGAGCTCCCCCTCCCCTTCCACTGGAGTCCATGTCGCCCGCTGGGGCCACAGGGCACGGTGGCGGTGGCGGTGGCGGCGTCTGTGCTGCCCTGCGCCTCTCACGCATCTGGTTCAAGGCCTCAGCCCAGGGGCGTCCTGAGCCCTCGGGGCGTCTGCACATGCCTGGGCCGAGGCACATGAGCCGCACGGCAGGGGCGGGGTGGGGGCTCCGGCTCACCCCGTTCCCCTCACACCCGTCCCGCCTGCGTGTGCACCACACCACCCCGCCTCACACCAGACACAGCTGCCCACGGCCTGCGTGTGCACTGCACCACCCTGACTCACACAGAGCCGCCCACAGCCTGCGTGTGCACCACACCACCCCGACTCACACCAGACACAGCCGCCCACAGCCTGTGTGTGCACTGCACCACCCCGCCTCACACCAGACAGAGCCGCCCACGGCCTGCGTGTGCACGCACCACGCGGACTCACACCAGACACAGCCGCCCACGGCCTGCGTGTGCACCACACCACCCCGCCTCACACCAGACACAGCCGCCCACGGCCTGCGTGTGCACCGCACCACCCCGCCTCACACAGAGCCGCCCACAGCCTGCGTGTGCACCACACCACCCCGCCTCACACCAGACAGAGCCGCCCACGGCCTGCGTGTGCACCACACCACCCCGCCTCACACCAGACACAGCCGCCCACGGCCTGCGTGTGCACGCACCACCCGGACTCACACCAGACACAGCCGCCCACGGCCTGCGTGTGCACCGCACCACCCGGACTCACACCAGACAGAGCCGCCCACGGCCTGCGTGTGCACCGCACCACCCCGCCTCACACCAGACAGAGCCGCCCACAGCCTGCGTGTGCACCACACCACCCCGCCTCACACCAGACAGAGCCGCCCACGGCCTGCGTGTGCACGCACCACCCGGACTCACACCAGACACAGCCGCCCACGGCCTGCGTGTGCACCACACCACCCCGCCTCACACCAGACAGAGCCGCCCACGGCCTGCGTGTGCACCGCACCACCCCGCCTCACACCAGACACAGCCGCCCACGGCCTGCGTGTGCACCACACCACCCCGCCTCACACCAGAGCTGCCCAGCCTGCGTGTGCACCGCACCACCCGGACTCACACCAGACAGAGCCGCCCACGGCCTGCGTGTGCACCGCACCACCCGGACTCACACCAGACAGAGCCGCCCACGGCCTGCGTGTGCACCGCACCACCCGGACTCACACCAGACAGAGCCGCCCACGGCCTGCGTGTGCACCGCACCACCCCGCCTCACACCAGACACAGCTGCCCACGGCCTGCGTGTGCACCACACCACCCCGCCTCACACAGAGCCGCCCACAGCCTGCGTGTGCACCGCACCACCACGCCTCACACCAGACACAGCCGCCCACGGCCTGCGTGTGCACCACACCACCCCGCCTCACACCAGACAGAGCCGCCCACGGCCTGCGTGTGCACCGCACCACCCCGCCTCACACCAGACACAGCCGCCCACGGCCTGCGTGTGCACTGCACCACCCCGCCTCACACCAGACAGAGCCGCCCACGGCCTGCGTGTGCACTGCACCACCCCGCCTCACACCAGACACAGCCGCCCACGGCCTGCGTGTGCACCACACCACCCCGCCTCACACCAGACACAGCCGCCCACGGCCTGCGTGTGCACCGCACCACCCCACCTCACACCAGACACAGCCGCCCACGGCCTGCGTGTGCACTGCACCACCCCGCCTCACACCAGACACAGCTGCCCACGGCCTGCGTGTGCACCACCCCGCCTCACACCAGACACAGCCGCCCACGGCCTGCGTGTGCACCGCACCACCCCGACTCACACCAGAGCCGCCCACGGCCTGCGTTGCACTGCACCACCCCGCCTCACACCAGACACAGCCGCCCACGGCCTGTGTGTGCACTGCACCACCCCGACTCACACCAGACAGCCGCCCACGGCCTGCGTGTGCACTGCACTACCCCGACTCACACCAGACACAGCCGCCCACGGCCTGCGTGTGCACCGCACCACCCCGACTCACACCAGACACAGCTGCCCACAGCCTGCGTGTGCACCGCACCCCTGCCTCACACCAGACACAGCCGTCCACGGCCTGCGTGTGCACCGCACCCCTGCCTGGTGGATAGATGATGGATATGTAGATAGAGAGATAGGTGGGTGGATGGATGGAAGAATGGATAGATGGATGGATAGATGGGTGGATGGATGGATGGGTGGGTGGATGGATGGATAAGTGGATGGATGGGTAGGCAGGTGGGTGGGTAGATGGGTGGATGGATGGATGGGTGGGTGGGTGGATGGATGGATGGATGGATAGATGATGGGTGAGTGGGTGGATAAGTGGATGGATGGGTGGATGGGTGGATGGATGGATGGGTGGGTGGGTGGGTGGGTGGGTGGGTGGATGGATGGGTGGGTGGGTGGATGGGTGGATAAGTGGATGAATGGGTAGGCAGGTGGGTGGGTGGATGGGTGGATGGTGGGTTGGTTGGGTAGATGCTCGCATGGCTGCGTGGTTGGACAGATGAGAGGTTGGTTGGTCACATTTACCAATCAATCATTCTTTTTTTTGGTTTTTTTTTTTGGGGGGGGGGGTCCGGTCGTGGGGCCTGAATTCTGGGCCTGGGCGCTGTCCCTCAGCTCTTCAGCTCAAGGCTAGCGCTCTACCACTTGAGCCACAGTACCACTTCCGGCTTTTTCTGTTTATGTGGTGTTGAGGAATCGAACCCAGGGCCTCATGCATGCAAGGCAAGCGCTCTACCACTGAGCCACCTTCCCAGGCCCAATCAATCATTCTTGAGACAGCTCTGATATCCTACTTTTTATACCAAAAGTAGCTCTGAATGCCTTTGGACCCCCTCCCCACCCCCACTTCCTCCGACTCCTCCTTAGAGGGGAGTTTCCACCTCCTTCATCCACAGGGATGGCTGACAACCTTTGAACCTTTTCTAACTGCGCGTATGTGTGTGAGAGGCGGAGACACAGGGCTCTGGGATGGGGTGGAGGCCCCTCCCCTCTTCCATCTTAGTGGCTGCCTTGGCTTCCTAGCACTGCGCCATCCTGGGGCTCTGACGGTTGGTGGGGTGTGGGGGGTGGGAAGAGGGACTCCAGGCAGCGTGGAGTCCAGGTCCCCTGCCTGACGGGCTGGTCCCCGGGGACGAGCTGGGCTGGCAGAGCTGGCACCGGGCAGTGGGCCGGCCCGGGGCGGGAAGATGGGTACCACGCGCTGCCAGAGGAATCCCTCCCCCCCCCCCCCCCCCCCGCCACACTGCTGCCCTATTGAATGGGCAGGTGGGGTTTTTCTGTTCTCTCTTAATAGCCAAAATGTTTAACTTCCAGCCACTGGTTCCTCCTAGGGAATGCTTTAAACACAGGAACATTCCCTCCTCGTCATCTTCAACTGCGATGGATGGATGTGTGCACCACCCCGCCTCACACCAGACACAGCCGCCCACGGCCTGCGTGTGCACCGCACCACCCCGACGTGACCCCGGCACTGCCCCTGCGCTCTCCCCTGAAAACAAAGGCCGCTGCAGCCGGAGGGCCGCAGGGCTCTGGGACACCGCCGCCTGCAGCACACGCCCGCCCAGCCCACCGCAGAGGCACCGCGGCCCGGGCCGGCCGCTCACACCGCTCATGCCAGCTACCCGGAGGCCAAGAGCTGAGGATCGCAGTTCAAAGCCAGCCTGGGCAGGAAAAGCCATGAAACTTATCTCCAATAAACCAGCAAAAAGCTGGAGGTGG